CACTTGTCCACGGATAGAGGGGGGCGACTTCAGAGTAGATCTCTCGCCTTGACGCAGCGCGCACTCGTCTTCACAATAATCGCAATGGCTTCAATGATGGAGGGCGGTTCATGTTCAAAGTGAGGTTCTCGCCTCAGCGCCGCGCAAAGTCGTCTCGAAATCTCTCAACAGCTTCAGGGATGAAGCGCAGGGCGTTGATGCTCTCGCCTCAGCGCCGCGCGCGCATTCTTTTGCGAATTCAAAGTCTAGGAGGATGGGGGGACTGCTATTTTTAAGTCGGGCCTGTCCCCTACAGGGAGATGTTGGACGAAACAAAAAAATACATCAAAAATGCTCAAAAGATGCCCAAACATACTCAAGAAATAGTCCTCAGACTATGTTTTGACTATGTTTTGATATTCCCCCTGTAGAGGGACAGGCCCGACTTAACGCTATTTCTCAAAAGCGGGATTCTCGCAGGAACCTTCGCGAGAGTTGTCGCAAACCACGCGGAAAACACAACGCAAATACACAACGCAAATACACAACGCGGCGCGACGTAATACACAACGTAAAAACACAACGTAAAACACGACATGTATGCGCGTTATGGATTTACACTGTGTATCACGCTGTGCGTTTACGCTGTGTGTACGCACGCTGTGTATTTATGTTGTGTATTTACGTTGTGTAGTTACGCTGTGTGTTTGCGCCCTGTGCGTGGTGCCGTGTGTGTCGCGTAGTGCTGTTTTGTTTACGCTGTGTGTAAGCGTGCTGTGAACTTACGCTGTGTATATGAGTGCTGTTGTGTAGTTACGCTGTGTATATGCGTGGTGTTGTGTATGCGCGCTGCATCTACACTGTGTATTCACGCTGTGTATTTAAGCTGTGTGTTTACGCAACGTGTACGCGTGCTGTGTATTTACGCTGTGTATTTACGTTGTGTATTTACGCCGTGTATATGCGTGCTGTGCGTGGTGTCGCGTGTATTGCGTAGTGATGTGTATGTACGCTGTCTAAGCGTGCTGTGCGTGATGTAGTGTGCGTTGCGTAGTGCTGTGAATTTACGCTGTGTGTATGTGTGCTGTGTATTTACGCGGTGTACTTACGCTGTGTATTTCAGTGGGGTTGCGAAGTGTTGTGTATTTCCGTTGTGTGTATGCGTGGCGTTGCATAATGTGTTTGTTCATTGCGAATGTGCGCAACGTTCTGCATCTACGTTTCACATTCGCGCATCGCGGCGTAGCGCTGTGTAGTTACGCTGTGTATACGTGTGCTGTTGTGTATTTACGTTGTGTCTGTGAGCGGTGTCGTGTATTTACGTTGTGTTTGTGACTGGTGTTGAATGTATACGCTGCGAAACGTTCTGCATTCGCGCAGCCTGGAATATCTCTGCGTATTTACGTTGTGTATATGCGTGAAGTTGTGTAGTTACGCTGTGCATATGCGTGATGATGTGTGTCTACGCTGTGTATATGCGTGCTGATGTGTATTTACGCTGTGTATATGCGTGATGTTGTGTATTCGCGCTGTGTATATGCGTGCTGTTGTGTTTTCGCGCTGTGTATATGCGTGCTGTTGTGTATTCGCGTTGTGTATATGCGTGATGTTCTGTATTCACGCTGTGCATACGCGTGCTGTTGTGTATTCACGCTGTGCATACGCGTGCTCTTGTGTACTTACGCTATGCATACGCGTGCTGTTGTGTTTTCACGCTGTGTATACGCGTGATGTTGTGTATTCACACTGTGTATACGCGTGCTGTTGTGTATTTACGCTGTGTATATGCGTGCTGTTGTGTATTCACGCTGTGCATACGCGTGCTGTTGTGTATTTGCGCTGTGCATACGCGTGCTGTTTTGTGTTCACGCTGTGTATATGTGTGCTGTTGTGTATGTACGCTGTGCATACGCGTGCTGTTGTGTATTCACGCTGTGTATACGCGTGCTGTTGTGTATTCACGCTGTGTATACGCGTGCTGGTGTGTATTTACGCTGTGTATACGCGTGCTGCTGTGTATTTGCGCTGTGTATGTGCGTGCTGCTGTGCATTTACGCTGTGTATATGCGTGCTGTTGTGTATCTGCGCTGTGCATATGCGTGCTGCTGTGCATTTGCGCTGTGTATATGCGTGCTGTTGTGTACTTGCGCTGTGTATATGCGTGCTGTTGTGTATTTACGCTGTGTAGTATCTTCTGCTGACGGTGTGTATTTACGTTGTGAATTATGTTTTACAGACGTTGTGTATTTACGTTGTGTTGTACGTACGGTTAAGATTTTCGTTTGATGGGTTTGTGATCACCATCAACCTTCGCACATCTTGAAGACCCACCCCTTCACAACACGTGCACCGCTTCACGTATCTGGGACGGCTCTGTTTCAAGGTGGTGCTGTCGCTCGGACCTCCTTGAAGCTCATGGACGTAAGGTCAAACTTGGGCAGAAGTTGAAAGGGGCCCTGGGACACACACGTACATACACACAAATAAATGGATGTCCCATATTTTCCGACATGTTTTGGGGGTGCTCGTCTTCCCCCACGCTCCCCATGTTTTCCAATCTTTTCTGGGGGGATCGACGATTAATTGTGCATGTGTGTTTCCCCCCTCCTGAGAAGTTGCGGATTGGGGGGCGGCCCTTCTTCGCACAAAGGGTATCGCTGGACACCTTGCTGCACTGTGCAACCATGCGTGCGTCGCGCCCCTGCCTGCGCGCCAGAAGCAGGCAAAGCAATTCCAGTCCAAAGCGGGACCATCGCAAAACTGCCAGACTTGGCCGCGCTGGTTTTCAAAGAGGGCGCTTACTGTAGTGGAAATAGAAGCTTGCAGGGACGTGCGGGGAAGGGACATGGGACGGGAGGGTACATTGCAGCATCGCTGATGCATATTTGGCTGACTCTGGTCCTCGTCAGAGTGAGGGGGCCGAACGGTCACTCACTGTCCCTGGGTGCGTGGCTGAAGTGGGATTCCGCGGTGCGGATTCTCGTTGTTGTTGTTTGTTGATGTTTGTTGTTAGTTGTTGTTTGTTGTCGCCGTCCCACCCGCAACCCGCCCCGCGACCCACCCGCGACCCACCCCGCGACCCACCCCGCGACCCACCCGCGACCCACCCGCGACCACCCCGCGACCCACCCCGCGACCCACCCCGCGACCCCCCGCGACCCACCCTGCGACCCCCCCGCGACCCACCTCCGCGCCCACCCCACAACCCCCCCGCGACCCAACCCGCGACACCCCCGACCCACCCGCGACCCACTCCGCGACCGACCCCGCGACCCGCGACCCACCCGCGAACCCACCCCGCGACCCACCCCGCGACCCACTTTCGACCCAAACCACGTTCAAGGTACAAACCACCATTTTCGGCGCCTGCGGCGTGTTTTTTTTGCATTCCTTCCACGTGGAGAGCCCGCGACCCACCCCGCGACCAACTCGCGACCAACCCGCGACCCAAACCACGTTCAGGGTACAAACCACATTTTTCGGCGCCTGCGGCGGGCATCTTTTGCATTCGTATCAGGTGGAGGGCCCGCGGCCCACCCGCGACCACGTTCAGGGTACAAGCCAATTTTTTCGGCCATTCGCTCCCGGTGGAGAACCCGCGGCCCACCCGCGACCCATTCCACCTTCAGCGTATAAACATTTTGTTCGGCGCCTGCGGCGGGCTGCTTCTGCATTCCTTCCAGGTGGAGGTGGAGAGCCCGCGACCCACCCGCGACCCAAACCAAGTTCACTGAACAAACCAATGCCGCACAAGCGCGGCAGCGGATATGTTTTTCATGCCGTCTGAGCCCGCAGCGACCTCTTCAATCCCCGCGCATCCACACCAGCCCGTCCAGCAACTTTGCCCTGGCGAATTGTCTTGATCAGAGAAGTCGGGGAACATAAAGTGGAAACAAGGATTGCGTTTCCGTTATCTTGGGAAAGGAGGGGGAGGCAGGAGGAGTAAACAGGGGACGAGGAGGATGCGAAAGAAGAGAGGATGTAAGGAGAATGTGGACAAAGAGGAGGAGGAGGAGGAGGAGGAGGAGGAAGAGGAGGAGGAGGAGCAGGAGCAGGAGGACGAGGAGGGGGAGGATGGGGAGGAGGGGGAGGAGGAGGACGAGGAGGGGGAGAGGAGAGTTAGGATGGGGAGGAGGAATGATGATGATGGATCGACATGGGAGGACTATGGTGGGAAGGGGGGCGATGAGTGGGTGGGACGAACAATGGGAGGACGATGATGGAAGGACGAGGGGTGAGAAGGAGGACGAGGAAGAAGAGAGGCGGAGGAGGACGCATGACGATGACGAACGATGACGGAATAGGAGGAGGAGGAGGAGGAGGAGGAGGAGGAGAGCGCCATCGACAGGGAAGGTGGGGGCCACGAGGTCCGCCGGCTCGACGACGCCCGCGTCGCCCGCGCCCGCCCCCTCACTCTTATCCGCAATTGCGGGGTGCTACGTACTCCTCCTCCATACCATCTTCCCCTCTGTTCCTCTCTCTTTCTTGATCTTCCTCCCGGGCTCTTCCTCTCTTTCTCTGTCTTCCTCTCGCTTCGTCGCTCTCTCTCTCTCTCATCCTCTCCTCCCCTCCTCCTCCTCCTCCTCTTCCTCCTGCTCCTCCTCCTCCTCCTCCTCCTGCTCCTCCTCCTCCTCTTCCTGCCCCTATCTCCTCCCTCTCCTCCTCATCCCCGTCATCCTCCTTCTCCTGCTCCTGCTCCTCGTCTTCGCCCTCCTCCTCCTCCTCCTCCTCCTCCTCGTCCGCCTCCTTCTTCGTCTCCTCTTCTCTCGTTCTCACCTATATTCCTCCTCTCCCTCTTCCTCCTCTCTCTCTCTCTCTCTTCCTCCTCTCACTTCATCCGCCTCCTTTTTCTGCTTCTCCTTCTCCCTCTCCTCCTCCTCCTGGTCCTGCTCATCCTCCCCCTTCGTTCCTCTCAAAGCGTTCCGCCAAGGTTTATCACAACAGCTGGGGGAGCACGCAGCCCAATGGCGGGGCAAGACTTTGGCCAAACGTCGCATACGGGGGCGGCGGAAGTTCGCCGCATGCGCATCCGATAATACATCCCCCGCTCCTCTTGTTTCCCAAGCATGGTGTGGGTCTTGCCACCGCCAGTATACCCATAACAGAAAAGGGAAGCCGCGCCGCCACGCATCACGGTCTTCAACCGCTCTGCAAAACAGCTCTCGAACACGGCTTGGTTGTCCGCCTCCTGCCCCTGCACACCCGCGAACCCACCGACGGTGACCTTGCCGGACTCGAGCGCAACCGCGGGCGCGGATTCTGGACCGCTGCTGCAGAGCGCCAGGCCAGGCAGGACATCGGAGCCGGCCTCCCTGGAAATCAGAGGCCTGACCCGCACGAACACGGAGACGGGAGGCGGGGTGTCCCCAGCCTCCAGGAAGGCAGCGGGCCGCTCCATGCAGGGACTGAGCCCCTGCAAGTGGACGACTTCGGGATCGACTGCTTCCTGTGCGCCAGTTTCTCGCTAGGGCCCCAACTGCTGGGGAAGGCGATGAGCAGGACAAAGCGGGGTGCGGCATTGGGGAAGGTGAGGCGAGGTGCTGTAGCAGTGAGATCGCTGGTATACATCAGAGCAGCGGATTCGGACAGAGTGCAATGTTAACAGATGTCCAAGACGGTATGCTGAGCACGTACGACAAGGTCAGGAACCATAATATGGCTAGGCACGGAAGCCTGGCGTCAAGGAGAGAAACGCTTAACATGGAAGAGCGAACGAACATAAACATGTGTAGGTTAATTAAGATAGACCTTGCAGTGCGAAATGAGGTGAGACAGCAAGGCCTGTTCAGAGACAGCAAGGCAAGAGCAGCAGAAGGCTTCCCAGGAGACAGAGGGGACGGATCGAGCCCAAACCAGGCTTCTCTCTCCTCTGCCTCGACCCTCTCATCACCCGGCCCTCCTCCTCCGCATCCTCCCTCTTTCCCAAGGGCCCCCCACCCCGACTCAGGTTCGCCAGCATCGGACACGGGTGCGCTGGTCTTCCAGGTCGGCACGAGGCGGCCAGGTCGCGCCGAGAACGTGCCGACTGGCGACGACCGACGACCCTGTCGAAGCGGCCCCTGGGACCCTCGTAAGCCCATCGGCGCACTGGAGCCGCCGATGTTTGAGACGGGCGGCGACGAGGCGGCGACAGGGAAGCAATGGCGACAACAAAGCCGCCAGAGCGGCAGACAGGCTCAGACGACGGGCGGCGACGAGGCGGCGACGGGGCGGCGCCGGCGACAACATAACCGCCAGAGGGGCAGACAGGCCCAGTTCCTTAGAGCAGAAATAAGAACCCTGAAGTGCAAGCGCTGTTTGGGGAAAAAGGGATAGAGGAGGAGGAGGAGGGTCTGAGACTTCCCAGACGTGTCGGTAGGGCGGGCCGGGCGTTTCGCCTAAGACTTCCTCGCGACTTCCACCTACGATCCTGAAAGTTGGAGTCAGCAACAGCTTTCACGGACAGAGGGCGAGTCCTTCTCAAGATGGTGGTTCTCGCTTGGTGCCGCGCACACTCATCTTGAGAGCCTGCAAAAGCTTCACGGATGGACGGCTGGTCCTTTTCAAATGTGGCTGTCGCCTCACCGCCGAGCACGTTCGTTCTGAAAAAGCACAACACCTTCGCGGATCAACGGCGGGTTCTTCTCAGAATGTGGCTCTCGCCTGCGCGCCGCGCACACTCGTCTACACTCGTGCATCACCTTCACGGATGGGGGGCGGGCGGTTATCAAAATGTTGTTCCCCCTTTGCGCCGCGCGCATTCGACGCAAACGTTTGCAAAAGCTTTCAGGATGGGGGGCAGTTGCTTTTCAACTTAGCTCCGCAAACATTCGCCTCAAAGTTTGCAGTATATTCAAATACTCGTATGGTCGAAACCCACGGCTGGTGTCTGTCTGGCACGACTAAATACTTCCAGGACGCAACAACCACTTTGTGTTGCGATGCTGGTCCCCGGAACAGTGTTCTTGCACGACCTAGGACGGTCAGGACGCAACAATCACGTTGACCCGCGGCGGTGAGATCCCAGGAACTGTGCATTGGCAAGAGTGAAGACTCTCCGACAGTTCCCTTCTAATGAACCACTACCTGCAGTGAAAATGCCACCAGCCCTCTAGGGCGTGAGTGGCTTATAGCGATCCTCTTACAACCCTCTTCTTCTCCTTCGGGGACGGGTTTATCACTGCTCCTTATTTTTATACACCCCCTCCCCCACCCGGCCGGCATCCAACCAGGAACCATGCCAACACCATGAGGGCCCGCTCCCCACCATTCCTTTCAAAAAACAATACAAACCGCGCTCTGCCTCCACATTTGGAGCATGCGCGGACATACCGATGCGCCCCCCACCATCCCTGCCAAAACACAAAGCAAAACCCACTTTGGGGCAAAGTCTTGAGTCATGTTCGTGAGGCCCGCGAACACTTTGTTTTGTTTTTGACAGGGACGGCGGGGGGGCCAGCATATTCCCTGCTGTGCACAGGGCTACCATCCCTGACAAAAAACAATACAACATGCACCTCGCGGCTAAATCTGGATCATGCGCGGCCATCCCGCGATCACTGTCACATGGTGTTTGACAGGGACGGCGGGGGTGGTGGCGCGTGGCCTGCTGTGCGCAGGCCCACCAGACACAATGATGGGCACTGGTTTTCGTCAAGGATGGCGGGGGCCGACATGGTTCCCGATGTGTGCTGTCACGTGTGCAGGCGCACCTGACGCACTCTGCACGTGCCCCGAACACGGCGCAACTGACGCGGCTGAAGTGTGCGGCATACTTAGCGCACTCGGAGCACGTGGCGCATCTGGCGCACCAGGCGTGCCTGGCACGCTCGGGCCCCAGGGTTGCCTGGCGCGCGTGGCGCCCCTGGCACGCGTGGCGCACCTCGCCCGAGCGTCGCGCACCTGGGGTCGGCTTTGGGTCCCAGTAGCTGTCCATCCAAAGACGACCGCTGAACATGCTCAGGCTCGGGTGTTACTCATGTGCTGGGAGGGCGAGTGGGAGTGAGCTAGACGGCTTGCGGGCGGGTGGGTAGCTTGACCCCTCCCCCCACGCCCTCCCGCTGGGGGGGTCCCGAAAGCGTTGGAGTGTCCAAGAAGGCCCCGGCGAGAAGGCCACAATTACTGATTTTACTAAGGTGTTGGATCAAGTTCGGCTTCCCTCGGGGGACGCCTTAATTCACCATCCCTTCTGTGATCGAGCTCCAGGATGGCATCCAAGGCGGCCCCAAGAGGCGCCCCGGAGGCCCCAAGAGGCCCCCAAGAGGCTCCCAAGAGACCCCCAAGAGGCCCCAAGAGCCCCCGCGAGGCACCCAAGACGATCCACGAGGCCCCCGCGACCGCCAAGAGGCCAACAAGAAGCCCCAAAAGGACTCAGAGAAGCTCTGAAGAGACATCCGAGAAGACTCCAAAATGCATCCAAGAGGCTGTCTGGCCGTTCTGCTCGCCTTCCTCCTCCTCCTCCTCCTCCTCCTCCTCCTCCTCCTCCTCCTCCTAATCATCATCATCATCATCATCATCATCATCATCATCATCATCATCATCATCATCATCGCATCATCATCATCATCATCATCATCATCATCATCATCATCATCATCATCATCATCATCATCATCATCATCATCATCATCATCACATCATCATCAGCATCATCATCAGCATCAGCATCAAGCATCAGCATCAAATCAGCGCAGCATCAGCATCTCATCACCACCACCACCATCATCATCATCACCATCATCAATCATCATCATCATCAGCATCATCATCATCATCATCATCAGCATCATCGTCAGCATTATCATCGGCATCATCAGCATCCTCATCATCATCAGCAGCATCATCAGCATCATCACCAGCATCATCATCATCAGCATCATCACCATCATCATCAGCATCAGCATCATCATCATCAGCATCATCGTCACCATCATCATCAGCGGCAGCATCGTCATCGTCATCATCATCATCAGCATCAGCAGCATCAGCATCAGCATCCTCATCACCATCACCATCACCATCATCAGCATCAGCATCAGCATCAGCATCAGCATCATCAACATCATCATCAGCACCAGCACCATCATCAGCATCATCATAATCATCATCATCAGCAGCAGCAGCAGCATATTCACCATCATCAGCAGCAGCATCAGCATGAGCACCATCATCAGCAGCAGCATCATCATCAGCATCAGCATCAGCATCAGCATCATCAGCATCATCATCATCATCATCATCCTCAGCATCCTCAGCATCATCATCATCATCATCATCATCATCAGCAGCAGCATCATCATCATCATCATCATCATCATCATCATCATCAGCATCATCATCATCATCCC